TTCTGGGATCTCAGATTTCAAAATTCCCTCAGGGGGAATGGCCCCGGCCCCCCCCCCCCCTCCCATTATAATATAGAAGACGGAATCACGAGGGGCCCCATGTGAAATTTTGCCCTAGGCGGTTGGGCCCCCAAATTTCCCTGGACGACCCTGGTTTCTGTGCAGTGTATGTTGTATTTTTGAATATCAGTTGTAGCCTGTTTTGGGGTTCACACTTCTGCTCGGTCAAACTTTGCACAAAAATGTGCAGTGATAAAAAATCTTAAAATTAGGTATGCCCATTTCACAACTTTAGGCCGCGTTTACAGTACTCATAAAGGTCCAGACACACTGGATTCGATAATGCGACGCGAATTTTTAGTTTTTGATAGTTAATAAAACAGACAATCGGAGAACAAATTTTGAAATATACGCAGACCAAATAACTCAAAATGTTACAGCACTTCTAAATATTTGGAAAATTCAAACTAGGATCAAAGTTATTGGTCAATGAAAATAAAAAAATCGCGTCGCGTTGTCGAATCGAGTCAGGTGTGTCTGGACCTTTAAGGTTCCTTTGGGAGTCTGGGACTGCACGCAGGCTACGGCAAATGCTGTTGCGCAAATAACAAACGCGAAATTAAATATATGGCAGTATTACAGTTTAGGTATCTTTTAAATTGCTAATAGATCACACGGAAACTTTTTACAATTGTTATATTCAAAAGACTAGCGTGCAAATTCACATATTTGTGTTTATATATTCAAGTGTTATTCATGAATTTGCTATTTGCATCAACCTCGTACCCAGGACTTCTGCGCTTAGTGCAATAAGCGCAGAAGCCCTGGGTACGAGGATGTATTTGCATGGGAAGCGACGAAATATGACACGGTATTTTCAAGTATTTTATACCGTGAAACTTCACTGACAGAATGAGCCCGCACAAGTGGGAGAAAATTTGGGCATTCTGACCATCGTGTTAAAAGATATATTTTACCAGTGGCGAAGCCAGCCCGACAATTAATTTGGTCATGCTATGCAAATATTTCCGTGTTCATAGTCCGTGCAAACAATGAATTTCTAAAGAAATTAATAATGATGATTTATTTTAAAATTTGCATAGCATGACCAAATTGTCAGGCTGGCTTCTCCACTGCATTTTACACATACACGATTTGTTCGATCGTGATACGTTGCCTGGAAAATATGAAAATTGGACAGGACCTATCAAGTTATTTCACCTTCAATGGTTTGATGTAAATTTCCAAAACATCGTATCTTCGTATCTCAGTTAGAATAATTTCCAGTTGTTCGAGGACGTTGTCACTAAGGTAGCCATTTATGCGGGTAACTTGATGAAGCTCTGGTATGTATTCACCCACAAGGCAATTCAGCACAAACATAAGCATTTGTACCACTTCATGATCATGGATAGGCATTCTATGCATGATAAAGAAAAGAGTAATACATCGAATGAGCGAAATTTGGTTCTGGATAGATTCCCAGGCACATGACAACTGAGCCGGCTGAAATCCATGCTGAGTTAAGTTAAAGTCGCCCGCAGGGTGTTGCAGGATGTTGTATTGTTGTTGTTGTGTTCCTGTTTTAAGATTTCAATAGTGCACACTTCGGAGAATAGGCATGCCATTTGATGGAATTTATTAGTGATTTTCACCGGTGAAGGAAGAAACTTCCACCACATTTTTAGTGAAAATTTAGAAAATTTAAACTCTAAAGTCTCTGAAATACCTCTAAAGAAGAACTGTCTATTTTAAATTTTGACTATATTTTATATTTTAGTAACAAAAGGCATATCATGTTATATAGGCGAGCATGCCCCCAACCGTGCAGCTATATAGTTTAGCTCAATATTCGTAGTTTTTCGTTCTTGTACTACGGACCTTCAAAATATGGTTTGGTTACCTGTGGAATATAAAAAACCTGACGCACGGAGCATCCTGTAATGCTACTTTGATTGACTATCCTGTAATGCTACTTTGATTGACTATCCTGTAATGCTATTTTGAGGTTAACCCCAGCAGAAGGGGGGTGAGACCCCTTAAAATAGAAATAAACTTTGATCATATTTTGTAAAACTATTATAAAATTTGTCATTATTGTACAGTTATTTCAATCTGTTTCTATTCAATTTTTTGAAGGCAAGACCAGAGAATATAAAGAGCTAAGACCGAGCTCGACTTGAGGAAAGTTAGATGTGAATTTGTTGATTGGAATCAGATATTGAAAACCTCGCTGTTTAGCAATTAACGATTAACCCACGGGAACCGCTAAGTAATTACCTTGTAGATATGCGCAAGAGACTAGGTTTATTGCCGTTTGCAATCCTTTCAGTTCAGTAATTTTTCTGTCATTAATGACTTCTCACGACAGTTGAAAACCTGGAGGTGCAATCTCGTACCCAGAGTATGCCCGTTGCCCCATTTGCAGGTTAATAGGTGCTCGAAAGTGCACTACGTCTGCGTCGAGATTGGTCCAGGTAAGACCTTGTGAAACAGTTGTCTGTCCAGTCCATTCTCTCTTTTATTAATCAATATTTGGCGCGAAACGGGCAACTCGCAAGCAGCAACCTGCATCTCGCAACTTCACAGCTCGCGGTTTATGAACTTCGCAACGAATTTACGGACATGCCAACAGAGGACACGCAAATACGCAATGCAAAGTTCGGTGCATGCAATCTCGTTCCCCGAGCCTGCGATCCTAGGGCAGCAGTGTCGGGCAGGCTCGGGGTTTCGGGAAACGACATTAGACAGATTTAGAAAAGACGACGCGACCTCAAAGATGACGTGAAAATGGCGTCAAAATGGCGTGGCACATCCATATATGGACAGAACACGCCATTTTCACGTCGTCTTTGAGGTCGCGTCGTCGTTTCTAAGGCTATGTTTACATTGTATCGGATCGGGTTTTGCTTCGTTCACGAAACGTTACGACCCAAGTGTAAACAGTTTCCGCCCTCGCCCATCTAAATACAAAAATATTATAAGTGTGCAGGCTATACCCGCAAATAAGATTAGAATAGCAAGTCTTTGTTTCCCAGATGCCATCTTGAGTCACGTATTGAACCGAAAATTGCTCCGATTTGTGTTTACATTACAATGAGGCCCTGTTTACACTATACCGGATTCGCTGGTCACGACATCTTCTTTTGCCGTTACGGAGCAATGGTTAGTAGCAAATGCTTAATAGTTTGATAGAATTGTCATGTTTATTTGGGTTTCTGAGATTAAAAATCTTCACAGCCTTTCGATACCTACAAAATTTGACCCACTCCGATAGCAATCCGGTATAGTGTAAACGGGGCCTGAGAGCGTTGCAAAAAGCGATCCGATACATCGCGCACCACTTCGAAGAGCGAACCGCCGCACCACCGGTCCGTTGCAGAAATTGAGACGATAACAACATTTCATATGTAAACAGAAGCCCTATCCGGTATGGTTTTTGCGTCGGACGCAAAAACCGATCCGATACAATGTAAACATAGCCTTAATCTGTCTATTGCGGTACGTCATGTGGCAACCAACCTCGTACCCAGATCATATGGAGATTGCCCGCGCCTGTCTACCCACGTGATCAAATCAGCTTAATCGACGATTCGACAAATATCGAGTCAATCGACATAAACGTTCGTGCATGGAAAAGAAAATTTAGGAAATCTTGAATAAAACACGATGTTTTTGTGCAAATAATAAAGGTCAGTATGTTATGTATAATATGAAATATATTAGTAAAATTCTACTTTGATTATCTAGGTGTTAAAGTTACTTTTAACCTCTTAACTTATGTCGAAATTTGTCTGCTCCTTTTCAATCCTTTCATGTAATCATATGACATAAAAATTGCCTTACAGAATTAAGGGTTTGTTATTATATTTAAAAACTAGCCAGACACTTAGTGGCATAGCCAGCTGACCAAAATCTGCCCATCACATAAAAACATTCACATCGCAGCAAGCTCGATAGCAACTAAATCGGAATCCAATTTTTCTACGCCGGACGATTATTAATCGACTGCTCTTACGCGGGACCACGGGTATGCCACATGTAATGCACCTATCAATGTTAAGCCCGGGGGGTAAGGGTGCGGGCAATGGGTGGGGATTTGACCGTGAATTCTATCCCCACAGACGGGCATTTGACAAAGACTTTTTGCCCGGGTGCGGGCGATTTGCTTTTCGACGTAATTCGACATTCGAGAAAACCGGAAGTTCGGAAACTTTTATTTTTATTTCCGCATCCGCTTCTGTCTGTTTTGGCGTTTTGGAATTTGTCGTCGTCTGGGGCACAACGTTGATTCGAGTTGTTGATATAAAACAGGTGAGTAGAATCGAAATATATCCTTGATGTTTACTATCCATCCAGCGAAAATATTTTCAAATTTGTGAAGTATATTAAATACAATTGTTTTTATATTTGCATATTGCATCGACAATAATCAATATGTATAAATAATGTATTAAATATTCAAATATTTACACCTTGCAGAAACATGGAATATTAAAATAACTTCGTACTGTATAAAAGGAAATCGACACCTTGATATAGATATATAAATATGATTGAGGTGAAAAAAAACTGCTAGCTTTCAAGCCATTTATAACACGAAAAAATTTAATGTGGCACAGTCATGGTTTATGTTTATAAGTGTATTTATAGAAAGGTTTTGATTCGTTTCTGTAGTGACATATAAAGTTTTGTCGGAAAATATGGCATCTATATTTAAAGTTAAAGATATATTAAACGGTCAGAAGTATTGTGTATCAGCAAGTAGTCTGCAAGAATTGAAAGATAAAGGTAAATACTAAACAATTTTATCGAAACATATTTATTAAAATTGCTTGCATGCGAGCGCGTGCGAGCAGCCGCCTATTTTTGACGTGCTCAGTGCTTCCATTTTCAAAATCAAAATTTCTCTAAATTCCTTAGATAGTAGGCTATACGTTTTTTCCTTAAAATTTTCTTGAAATTTCATTAGGCAGTTTGCTGTGATTTTGTAGCGATACAAAGGATTTCATTAATTTTAAAGGTACAAAATTGCCAAAATAGCAAATTTTGTCAAACTCAAACCCAAAAAATAGTAAATTTATAATTAAAGTGGAAGTCAAGTCTGCT